ATGAAGACAATAACCTCCCGCTCCAGGTTTTTCTTATTTTTCCTGTGTTTAATGACTGTTACATCCCTTCTGATGTACACTATTCCATTGAAGACAACTCATTTGCTACCACCGTTGAGAGCATTTGGTTCATTTATACAACACGCTGTACAGAGTTCACCAGTCGAGGAGCTATTAAACAGCATACCGGCTCAAGTCAAAGTAAATGGCGTTGATTGTGTTGCCATCTTCAATGGCTCCAAAAATGAAACAGCTGCAGCAAAGAGTATAGCGCGAAACGCCAGTGAGCCTCTTTCAGACGAATTTTACATTAACGTAACAACTGACTGTGTGAATTTTCAGAAACTACGTGGTTACATAATGTCCTCGCTAACACAAGAGGAAGAGCAGTTTCCCATAGCATATTCTATTATGGCTTACAAAGACTCCGAGATGGTTGAAAGGCTACTACGGGTTATCTATCGGCCTCAAAATTTTTACTGCATCCACATCGATCTAAAAGCGTCAAATGAGTTCTTCGCAGCAATTTCTGCCATAGCCAAATGTTTTCCGAACGTATTCATTGCCACTAGAAGAATTCAAGTAGTATGGGGCACTTTTACAGTGCTTGAACCAGAGCTTGTTTGCATGGAAGAACTGTCGAGGTACCGACAATGGAAGTATTTCATCAATTTGACAGGACAGGAGTTTCCACTGAAAACCAATTACGAAATTGTGAAAATTTTAACTGCATATGACGGAGCAGTCGATGTGTCAACGACTAAAAAATTGTTAGTGGTATCCATCCTTCCATCCATCCATCCATCCATCCATCCATCCATCCATCCATCCATCCATCCATCCATCCATCCATCCATCCATCCATCCATCCATCCATCCATCCATCCATCCATCCATCCATCCATCCATCCATCCATCCATCCATCCATCCATCCATCCATCCATCCATCCATCCATCCATCCATCCATCCATCCATCCATCCATCCATCCATCCATCCATCCATCCATCTATCCCTTCGTTCGTCCGTCAATCTGTCTGTCTGTTTGCTTGCCTGCCCATATGCCTGTCTGTCTTCAGTCGGTCTGCCTATCGGTCGGTCTCTCTATCTGTGGAAGGCAATTAACACACTTACAAAGGTGCTCAAATGTGTTAGCTGACTGATCAGTAATTTCTTTCAAGCTGATTTAGAACTGTCAAAAGCCACAACACCAAGCTTGCCTTGGGATTTATCCATTATGTCTCGTCATTTTGTGAGAATAAATCCTCTGAAGATATTCGTTCTGATATACCTATTATGTAATTTGTTCAAGTATTTATCCAACTCAAGCTTCAGATACAATAATCCCTCCTGTTAAGACGGAATCTTTTCAGTGCTGCATCAGTTTTTTTGCCAGTAACCTTTTACTTGAAAGCAATGTCTTGTTAAAGGCAACTTCCCATCAGCATTTAAGATTGACAAAGTGTGTCCAGATCTTCTTCTTCTTCTTCTTCGCGTTCACCAGCTGTACACTCTGGCGGAAAGTTCTCGTTGCTCGTCCACTACTGAACTGCAGTCCTGCTCCAGAACCTGAGTTTTGCGTGTGGATCAGTTTTACAGATCTCATTCTCTTGAATACAGACTGTTGGTTCCTTGCCTCTCCGGCAGATGCACTCCGACTTCAAAGGAAGCTCCCCAGTAAGTCGACTTTTGGGGAGGCAGTGGGTCTATTCTTGTTTTCCCCACAATGGGACCCCGGAACCCACACGGGGGTGTCCAGATCTAAAACCAGTACTTACAGACAGTGGTATTCCAAGTAACTATAGATCGATCTCCTTGTTATCAACACTATCTAAACCACTTGAGAAACGTATTCGTAATAAAACATTTCATAGATCGCAACAAACACTTATGGGATAACTAGTCAGGGTTTCGACCAAAGTATTCTTTCCATACTTTCTTACCAAACATAATGGAAAACTGGCATCAGACTAATAACGAAGAGAATTATAGACTTCAAGTAAGCTTTCGACATGACAGACCACATTATTCTTATAAAAAAATTAGAAACAATTTAAGTGAACTCTAGGCTACTAAATAAATACTAAAGGTAATAACCTGCAGATATAATACAGATATTCTTCTTCTTTTTCGTAGTGTTCATCTGCTGTAAACTCTGGCGGAAAGTTCTGGTTGTTCATGCACTTTCGGACTGCAGTCCTGTTCCAGAACCTGAGTGTTGCGTGTGCATCCGTTTTAAAGATCTGACTTATGTGTATGCAGACTGCTGGTTTCTTGCCTCTCAGGCAGATGCACTCCGACTTAGGAATTTCCTAATTAGTCGACTCCTACGACATGCGTTGGGGTAGGCAGTGGGTCTTTTTTGTCCACCCTATAATAGGACCCCGGAACCCACACGGGGATATCCTAGGTTTAGGTATTTGTAATATGCTGTGGCGTTGGCTATGCCTCCCGCTATACGAGTAATTAAATATCGGCCATAAGATTATATTTTGTAAATAAATTTAGCCAAATTGAAATGTAAGCGTACAGGGAGCGATAGTAACATAAGACCTTTATATGTTTTGGAACTCCCATGATTATTGCTTATTAGGAGAATGGCGCGTTTTTACAGTGACGTTAGCCGCTTGCTAACAGAACTGGAGCAACAACCCTAAATTGTACAGCAATAGTCTGTATATGTCTGGATGTGAGACGAATGGAATATCTTTCTAGCGTTTCGGTGAAAACTGTTCTGACTGAAATTTTTTTTTTCTAATCTGTTTTGTTTCACCAGTGATTGTATATGAGAGTTGAAGGTTAGATTGGCATCAGTGATCCACCCTAGTGCTTTGTGCTCAGTTACACATTACACTTGAATCCTCCCAGTGCAGAGCTAAAGCGCTCTCTGTGAATTTTATCTATATAGTTTTTTGTCAAGTCGTTATTAACATAAATGTTGTCGTAATAATGTTTTTTTTTTTTTGGGGGGGGGGGGGGGGGGGTTTCGGTTTGATCAGCTCCCTTTGTCTATAATTTTTAACTTCTTGTTGTTGTAACGACACTAGTATCTTGCATGTTTGTGCATTTTTATGGACTGTTTAGTCGCCTGTGAATGAATCACAAGATGAGGACAGACATAAGGGAAGATCATTTATGTAAATACCGGAAAATAGAGGGCCGAGAAATGACTGAGCCTTGGGGTACCCCGGTATTTAAGATAGTGGTCTATTATAGGGATTTATTGTATAAGATCACTTGTTTGTATTTCTGTAATGGTAATGTTAATATTAGTTTCATCTTCATAGCAAACGAGTCACCCCATAGTTGCTCCGCTCATGTACCAACGAAAAATACACAGAATGTTTATCACAGTTCCTTGTGGGGAGATTGACAAACTATTGTCCCAGCATATATAATAGTATGGACACGTATTAAAAGCTTACGGCCTGACTGACTGACTTTCTACCCCACTAGTACATCACACAAGCGATAAACACCCGATAACACAACGTGCCATCATGTGGATGACGATCACCGTGGAGAGGTCCAAGAACCGCGTTCAGACAATTGGCCATATTTATGGCCTGCCTATATTGCGGACCCTGGCAAAAGCCAGGGTGGGGCTTCAAATAAAAAAAAATTTCGTTCTAAAAAGAACATACAGGATTATTTAGATGCATAGCATACATTAGCCATCAGAAGTGCTAACACAAGCAGTCTGACAGTAGAAATGGAGCTCATCAATATAAGTCGATCAGTCCGTCGGTTCAGCTAGCTAGTGTAATATCTAGGAAATATGATTCTCTTTTCTTGGAAGTATGTCTGTTCTTCTTCTATTACTCTGCCTTTTTCTTTAAATGTTTTTTTTTCCCCTTTTATTGAATCCCTTTGCTAGCCCTAATTTCTTTTATTGTATCCCTTTGCTTGCCTTAATTTCTTTTGTTGCATCCATTTGCTTGCTTTAGTTTATTTTAAATAATTCAAATCATTTCTATCGACAGTGCAGATAAAAAGAGATGGAAAAACATACCTCCTCCTCATGGATTAACTCTTGTGAAAGGATCAGTCCACATTGTAGTTAACAGGTAATCTTTCAACAGCAGTAATGGCACCTACACAGGTATATACATATTTAGACACATGTACAAACACGCAGGCACACATACATCATATATATAAATATACCAATATTACATAGATACTAATATCATATATTTATAAGAACTGACTTACCAACAGGTTGTCAGATAGATAGCTTGATCGACATATATATATATATATATGTGTGTGTGTGTGTGTGTGTGTGTGTGTGTGTGTGCACAGTGATGGGCAGAAAGACATACATTAAGACAAATAAACAAACGTACACACATATATATTTAAAAAAACATAAAGTACACTTTTCCACGCCTTTCAGGCGTATTGGGTATATAGGGCTAGACCTTTATTTTATAGATCAAATGGCACTAGTGATGTGGTCAGCACCACGCAGGCCGCCTTTGCTTCCTAGGTCTGTACCTGGTACCCACTCAAGGCTGGGTTGACCTGGGAGCGAGGGTCATTTTCGACCCACAAAATACGGAACCCATACCCACAACCTTCCGATCAGCAGGCGAATGTATAGTCGCTAGACAACGGCGGCTCCTATATGTGTATATATACACACTGACATGCAAATGCCTTCATACACATACACTACTATATACAACCCCTACACACATAGGCGAACAGTCAAAGATGAATTATAAGGACTGATACTCAGTCAGTACTGTTGAAGCTTCGAAATAGATAATTGTAGCATGAGTGGATACCAAACAGCAGTACGTCACAAGTAAAACGACATATGGATATACTGTCCGAGATATGCAGGTGTGTGAGGAGACGAAAAAGCGCATTGTCTGGTTTCAGATGACACAGCTACAGGGACACTCGTATTGGACGAAGTAGACATTCTGAAGACCATTTATGAACGAATTCTAACAAGAGACACGAGGTTAGATTAAATAACCTAAGTAAGAATGTGTGAATGATGAATTAGGTGTGAATCAGTCAAGGATGATAGAATGAAAGGATAAGAACGACGAGTTTATAAACGATGTGCTTCGGCAGTGTTTTCCAAACTTTTCTTGGTCGCGGTGCCTTTTTTTTTCAATAAAAATATTTCCACGGCGCCCTAACCTAAGTAAATGTATGACTATTCGTATGTAACATACCAAAACAAATAAACCTCGCGCCTCTTCGAAAATTTCATGGCGCCCATGTGAAGATGTCGGGGCTTCACCGGAGCGCCGAGGTGCATTGTTTGAGAATCACTATGCTACGGGAATGATTAGCATCTACACCTTTCACATCTGCAGTGTGGGAGACAGCGCACCTTGGGTATTCCGGGTGTGCTATGATGTCGATTCTTAAATCGGTAAATCAGTAAACATTTGAAATGTTTCCCTATAACGTTAAGCACACTTTAAATAAGTGTTGAACAGTTAATATACAATTATTGTTTAAATTGTTATTGGTTATTTTTTTTCACACTTAAAGACCCAATCCAACTGTCGTATGCGATCCTAATATAAAATAACAACTGAACGGGGTTTCTGGGACTTAGACTGGGGGATTATATTCATAAAATGGCACTTTGTGTCACCAGGTGTTAATTGCTCGTTATGTGGTCCTAATGAGTTCGATTAAAATTATTTTTTTTAATAGTTATGGAGTGTCTGGATGAAAATTTGTGTTACGGTTTTATGATTTGTACAGATGGTCTTAGTCTTAATCGATGATTCAACTTCAATGTAATTTGGTTTCCCCAATACTTGCTCCATTTCTGTGCCAGTGCAACTCAGATGAAATATCCCTTAATGTCCTATTTGACAAACTGATGAACAAACAATTCGTCCTGGAACAATCCAGATTATATTCGAACACATTAATGAGTATTTCAGTTGCTAGAGGCGCTAAAACAAACAGTCGCCACCAGAAATACAGTTTGTTGTTGATGGAGATAGTCGGGCAAGAAAAGTTGGCTACTATAGACATGTAGAATTATTACAGAAGATATTTCACCAGCTCACATGTAAACCGGCTACCGGCCGTAGTGAATACCATGACCCAACCACTGTACAGATATACAGATAGTTCAGTATCAATAGGCCAAAAAAAAGCACATGTGAGTTCTTGGAAAAGCCTAGTGGTCAATGTTTGGTGCAGAAGAGTCTAGCATATGGTTCACACCATCCAGCTACATAATGTAGCTTTCTGCTGGCTAGAGTACCACACACACACCACACACACTACTCACACACGCACATACACACACACAGACACACAGATACACACCACACACACTCACAAACTCAGACACACATCGTTGTTGTAAGAGACTCAAAATGTATACTGAGGACAGGGATGTTTCGCGCTGAATGGAATACTTCGCTTCAAAGGTCACGCGTGAAAAGAATTGTCTGGATCTTTTCTCTGGGTATGAGGGTGTGTTGGTAAATAAACAGGCGGACAGACTGGCTGGCTATGCACAATCAGGTGAAATACTGATGCCTTATGGCAGACGTGGTTAAGGCCTTATGGGATCGCGTGTACAATACAAATGGATCGTCACAGTCTGGTGAGAGTGATGCAGCAGGAAATGACCCAGCGGGGGGGGGGGGGCGTAGGGTGGGGGGGGGGGGGGATTGTCCACTACTCGACGCTCAGAGGAAAGGCAAGACGGAGCTATAATCAGACTGCTACTAGCACCACTGAAATAAAACATTGCCTTCGTTGCTGAAGATTGGGACGGAATTTTTATGGGAATGGCTTTACTGCTCTGATGTCGGTTCTTGAATTAACTCAACGCTTGTTGTTGGTTGTGTTTCTTTGCAGGGATTTTGTTGATTTTATTCACAATAAAACTGCACAGGATCTTTTGCTGTGGACGAAGAAAACGTTGATTCCTGATGAAACATTTTTCAGCATGCTTAATGCAAATCCTAAACTGGGGATAAGAGGAACTTACACAGGTAAGTCGTTACTGTAATGGTCGGCCCTTTCTTTATTGTCGTCGGCGTCTGTGGCTTAGGCGTTGCAAACACGCTTCGTAGTGCCGGAGTGCCGGGTTTAATCCCAGCTGCAGACCTTGCGCCTTCTGTTGGTTTTGACAGTGGTATTGAGAAGCCGACCGTCCAGTAAACAATAGCAAACTACTTGACGTATTCTTGCCTAGAAAAACCACTACAGCTAAAAAAACTGACAGGGCTGGTTCTGCAACGTCCTGTAAAGGATACACAACTAACTTTAACTTCTTTATTGTGGGGTATCCTTCCTTGGTGAGGCATGTCTGGGATCAAGTGGACGATGTAGCTGAACAAAGCATCCATACAAGGAGAGGGTGCTTCACTTGGGAGCGAACAGAGAGCCTGAATGAGTTCCAAATCGCAGGTTAAACGACAGGCAGACTGTCAATCGCACTGCAGCATTACCAGTATACGAATTTTTCGTTAGATACTCAGAAAAGATGGCAAACTACTGGACGTAAATTTGCCTAGAAAAACCACACAACAGCCAGGGGCTGTTTGGGATTGGTTCTGCAACGTCCTGTAAAGGATACGCAACTAACCTATCTCAGAAAAGTCACATATAACACATAGGAATGTCCCATACAATGGGACATTTCATTTATTTATTTTTTTCCCTCTATTTTTCTTTTCTAATTTTTTCTTTTGTTTGTCTTTTTTTATGTTCACTACTCGTGCTTTTTCTTTAAACGGTCCTCATATCATCATCAGGTGCCTTGCCGACTGGCGTGGGCGATCATGCCTCTCTATAATCTGCGATCTCCTTCAGCTGTATCGGTTCGTGTGCCGACACACCTCCATGCCATGCAACAAGAATGTCAAGCATCTTTTCTCGTTGTCTTCCTCTATCCCTCCTTCCACACAGATCTTTCCAGTGGTCACAACATGTTCTATTTTCCATCTTCTCATAACATGGCCGACAAATGATGACTGTCTCCTTCTGATGTTCTGTGATAAGTTGCTTTGGCTCCCGCCTCTTCAAAAGCTCTTGGTTGCTCTTTTGGCTGTTCCAAGGTATTCTTGTAAGTATTTCCGTCAAACCACATCTCTGAGGCCTCGAGAAATTGTTATGGGCCTGCTACCGATTGCAGGATTCAACACATATTGTTAAAAAACTGGATGTTGATACTGATGATGAACGTTTTTGATGATAGGATATTGACTGATACTACGATTATGACGATGATTATGATGGGAATTTTACTGTA